CACACACACAGATATGAAGGAGGGCAGACTGAGGTCATAAACAGGCTGAAGTTTCACCCTGTGATGTGTTTGAGGCCTGCATGTGTTATCAGCTAACAGGTTTAACTCCTTCCATCTGTCCGTGCAAATACATTTTGTTCTAGTTCTCAAAGTAGGCTACTTTGGTTGAATTATGACCAGGGTGTGGTGATGTGGAGCGGATCTGCCAGAGCGGGGGAGCTGCTGCAAGTCCTGGCAGACTTTGCCCTAACCACAGCTTCTTCAGTCTAAACTGTTGCAATATTTCTATTCCTCATCTTCATTATCAAGCAATATTGTTTAATTATGTTCGATCATATTCTCACCATTCAGAATATTCAGAGCAGAATAAATACATTTCCTCTAAATCTCTTTGGTATATAAGAGACTGAGGCTGATTTTAAATGATTCAGTTACCTGGTCACTAAAACATCTAACAGAGGAGGAGCTCTTATGCACACCCTAAATGGTGCTACAGATTAGAGCAAATAGTTCACTACATGAGCTGGCATGCTAATCGCTAGCATGTGTGACATATGTAAACATGCTAGCTGTGGTTAGTTGATTCTGACATGACCTACTTCTGTTTTTGTGCTCGCTATTTTGAGTGCAGTCAAACTAACAAGTGTAAGTGCATACAATATCCTATGATAAACCATGCTGTTGTGTTAGTGTTACCCAACACTTGCTAGTTGGCTAACAGCAGGTTAGCCAACTATCAAACAGTATGCTTGAATCAACAGTATGCTTCAAACAATGTCTTGGAAACCACATTGTCATTGGTTGAGTCAAAGGGGCCCAGAATCAGAATCAGAAACTTTATTGTCATTGTCATGAGAACAACTAAATTAAGAATGGTCCCCGATCATTGCATCATCCCTAGCAATATCAAAATATAAATAAAACAATAAAATTCAATAAATAAAATAGAATACTTAAAATACTAATAAGATATAACAGTAAAACATTCACATACATTCCCACACACATGCTTCAGACCGTGCATAGATTAACACAAGAGTGGCGTGATGGACATTTTTTTGTAGTATTCAGATGTGTTATTGCAGTTGGATAACAGCTGTGTTTGAGTCTATTAGTCCTTGCTCTGATTGCCCTGTACCGTCTGCCTGAGGGCAACAGTTCGAACAGGGAGTGGCCAGGATGTGAGGTGTCTTTTATGATGTTTTGGGCCTTTTTAAAACAGTGGGCGTTGTGTAGAACTTCCAGTGTGGGGAGAGGGCAGCCAGTGATCTTTTGGGCGGTGTTAATGATCCCTTGGAGTGCTTTCCTCTGAGCCCCTGTGCAGCTAGTGTACCAGATGCATATGCAGTAAGTTAGAACACTCTCAATGGTGGCTCTGTAGAAGGACACCAGCAGTCTCTGTGTGATGTTATTCCTCCTGAGAATTCTCAGGAAGTACAGTCTCTGTTGGGCCTTTTTCAGCAGCTCGGAGGTGTTCACACTCCAGGAAAGGTTCTCCTCTATATTGACTCCCAGGAAGCGGAAGCTTGCCACCCTTTCTACACAGTCCCCATTTATGAATAGTGGTTGGATCTCTGCCTTTTTCCTTCTGAAGTCTATTATGAGTTCTTTGGTTTTTGAAGTGTTGAGGAGGAGGTTATTGGCCTTACACCATGACGTCAGCTGCTCCACCTCGTCTCTGTACGTAGACTCGTCTCCCTTGGAAATGAGCCCCACCACTGTGGTGTCATCTGCAAATTTCACAAAGATGTTGCTGTGGTGGCGAGGAGTGCAGTCGTGTGTGTAGAGAGAGTAGAGCAGTGGACTGAGCACACAGCCCTGGGGTGAGCCAGTGCTGAGACTCAGGGCTGAGGATGTGTGATGGCCAACTCTGACTCTCTGTCTACGGCCCGAGAGGAAGCTATTGATCCACATGCAGGTGCAGGTGCCCCAGGTCTTGTAGCTTGGCCACCAGTTTGTGTGGAAGGATGGTGTTAAAAGCTGAGCAGTAATCCACGAAGAGCATCCGCACATAGCTACCATGCTCTTCCAGGTGAGTTAATGCAGCATGGAGTGCTGTGGCTACAGCGTCTTCCGTGGATCGGTTTGCTCTGTAGGCAAACTGGTGTGGATCCAGGCTGCGGGGCAGGGCTGCTGTGATGTGTCTGCGGACCAGCTTCTCAAAGCATTTCATTACCACTGGGGTGAGTGCCACCAGTCTGTAGTCATTCAGGCCGGTGATGTGGGGCTTCTTAGGCAAGGGGACTATGGTGGAGGACTTCAGGCAGAGTGGGACAGTCGCCTGTGCGAGGGATTTGTTGAAAATCCTGGTGAAGATCCCAGCCAGCTGTCCTGCACAATCCCTCAATATTCGACCTGGCACACCATCAGGACCTGCCGCCTTCCTCGGGTTAACAGCCTGCAGCATGCGCCTCACCTCGTGCTCTTCCAGGGTGAGGGTGGTGCTGCTATGGGTGGCGTGTTGCTGCTGTGGCTCCAATACCTCCGGTACCCTGGTCTCAAAGCGGGCAAAGAAGATATTCAGCTCCTCTGCCAGCTCCAGGTCACCGTCCGCAGCTCCGAGATTGATCTTATAGTTGGTTAGGTGCTGGATGCCTTGCCACACCTGCCGGCTGGTATTACTCTTCAAATGGTCCTCGATCCTCCTCCTATAGTCCCCCTTTGCCTCTCTGATGCCTCTCTTCAGGTTGGATCGGGCTGTGGTGTAGTAATCCCTGTTGCCAGACCTGAACGCAATGTTCCTCTCCTTCAGCAGCTGCCTGACCTCCCGGGTCATCCAGGGCTTTTGGTTGGGATAAGCCCGGATCCGTCTGACTGCTGTAACAGTGTCTATGCAGTGTTTTATATAGCAGAGGACACCGTCTGTGAACATTTCCAAGTCCTGATGTTCAAAGATATCCCAGTTAGCCCACGTTCCTGCAACAGTTTATTTTTTTCTAAAAACAGACCTTCAGAAATAAGCAGAGCTTTAAGTCGCTCTTTTTTTATTTTTTATCTCCTGCATGTAATTAAATTTTACTCTAAAGTGTGGGGTGTTTATCCTCATTCATTCATCATCGCCTCACCTAGTTTATTTGAAATACTCTGAAGTCTAAAGCATAACACAAAAACTGACTTTGGCATGAGTCATTTTCAAGGTGTCTTGTTTTTTTAAAGCAGCCCTGCCAGGATCTGCGCTTCAACATCAGTAAATGAATGCATGCCCATTTAATTCTCAAGGTCTTTTTATCTCAGGGAAAGGGGGTGGATTTTGGCACCAACTAAATCCTCCTAAATACTTCATTCCTTGACTTCTTTCCAACTCAGGCTAGCAGATGCTGGTGATAAACTGCAAGTTATACATAAACACTTTAGATCATGAAGTAATGTTTATTTTCACTACCCCCACCCCCTGTCTCTTTCTATCACACCCACATTTTAATTTTTTTTTTACATTACACCTTGAAGACTCAAAAAAGGACACAGGATGTTATGCATTTCCTGTGTGAACTAAATATGTGCCTTTGCCCATGCAAAAATTCAAGGTTCCTGTTACGTAGGTCCACCACCTTAGTCTGAGTGTCTTTATGAGTGAGACAGATAGATATCAGCAGAGGCCGTCAGAGAGAGCTGCAGCAAAAAGCAGAAAATAAGACAGACTTAAAAATTGGATGGCTAAATCGCCCTCAGTTTGGATTTGATGGGACAGTAAATGCCACAGAGGAAAGAAACAAAAGGTTTCTTGTTTCTATTATGGATATCCTGCCAGCTTTAGCTTCTACTATGTTAGCCTCCACAGTCAGCATACTGAGGAAGAACGCTGCCATTCAGATCTTCACCAAGAAGCTCAACAGGAGGTAGGCAACACCTGCATCAGGTGTAAGAGCAGGAATTTGCAGAAGAAAAGTTTTTGAAATTGACGAAAAGATGTTTCATTCTTTTAGTGATCTTTGTCCAGCTGTGGTGAGCTGGCATGTGTCCCATTAGCAGTATAGAGTTTCATAGCACATGATATGTTATCTTAGTTAATCCTTCATTTCTGACAGTGTCACAATTTGTTTGTCTTTAGTTTGTGACTTTTGATTCACAACTAATGATTAGAGATTCCTATTCACACCAGACTAGTAGCCGAGCATTACTCATGTTACTATGGAATTTGACTGAGTAATAAATGTAATTTATTTTAGATTAACAGAAATGGAGTTAAATAGTCATTTTGTTTTACTCACTCCCTGTCATGACTGCTTATCGGGCAGTCATTAACTAACCGATTTTTAATTCTACAAAATAAATGCTGTTTTTTTTATTGATGATATAAATCATGAAATAATTAATATTTAATAGCTGTTGAGAAATGGTTCTGCTCAGGACTAGTTATTTGGTTTAGGTGTTTCCAGGACGGCTAATCTTTGGGCAAGATACTGAACCCCGAGTTTCCCCTGCTGCCTGCATAAATGTTGGAAAGCACTTTGGCTTGGATAAAAGCTCAGTATGAATGTGTGACTGTGTGAATGAGACTTGTAGTAGAAGCTGCTTTGAGTGCACAGCTGAGTAGAGAGGTGTTTTATGAGTACTAATCTGTTCATCACTTTATAATTCCACTTCTATGAGCGTTCACAGCCCAAAAACAGGCTTCGCCGTTGGATGTTTTGAGTGGCCGGTCTTAAGTCTGAGGTGGTCTTATCGCCATCTCTGCTCCAAATATGTTTCAGGGTATATGGGAGAACAAATAAGTCATGTTTTTGTTTTGTTACGAACTGCTGAGTCCCTTCTAGTTTTCTGTGTGAGAGCTGATGTAGCTCAGAACGTCCTCAAGCTAAAGGGGATAGGAAGCAGGTTTGCTAGCAGAGAGGATGTGGTCCTGCCTCTGTGCTGCCTCCTTGAAGCTACTTGGTTGTTGTTTGTTAGCTTATTTATGCTGGCGTTCATTTCCTTATTCATTTCTGCGATCTTGTGCGACTAGAGAGATTACAGTTTCACCTGACTGACAGAAAAATATTCTGTCCTTTGCTCTGCCGTAGAACCATGTCATCTCCAGAGATGTGCTGGCCGGTGCCAATGCGAGCCATTGGGGCTCAGAACCTCCTCACCATGCCAGGAGGGGTAGCCACTGCAGGATACCTCCACAAGAAGGGAGGCAGCCAATTCAGCCTAATGAAATGTGAGTTGAAAGGCAGACATGAAAGAGCAATATCCACTTACATTCTCATCACTGATACAGCACCTTTTACACCACCATGAAAACATTCTTAATACATATTGCTTGCCTTACAGGGCCACTGAGGTACATCATCATCCACAAGGGCTGCGTGTACTACTTTAAGAGCAGTACCTCTGCTGCACCACAGGGGGCGTTTTCTCTCAATGGCTACAACAGGTCAGTAGAAGACATTTTCCTACATAAATAAACATACTTGTGTGCTTATTCGGGGCTTTATTATTCTGGGTCTCAGCTCCAGCGACGCTCACATCCCACCTGTTTAATTTAAGCTTTATTACAGCATGACATCTATGTAAATGGTAATTGTAGATAATAAGGTTTAATGCAGGAAAAGGTTAAGTACTTGCTTTAAAAATGGGCCTTCAGTACCGAGTACACCTGAAGCTCCAGGAATGTTAGACCTGAGCTCAAGGGTATATAAAGGAGTGTTCTTAAAACTGAAAAGAGCAAATATATGTAGATAGCTGGCCAGGCTGCCATCAAGAGAGAGGGAGAGGGAGGGAGTGTTTACAGTAGGCAGCTGTCAGGGCACCTGAAAAAGTACCCAGGAAGCAACACTTAGCAGATAACAGCTGCCTCACAAAAAGTGTGGCAAACATCCCCATCAAAACATCGCCGTATTTAGATTCCCTCATGTTTGCTGCTTTGTGACATTTGATTGATGAAGGGATGGTGAAGAAGCTCAGGATGTTTCTTCAGGGCTTCCCCACAGAGAGTGATTGCCATCTTGTTGCATTTCCTAGTCTATACAGTATGTGTGAATGGGGCTTTAAGGAGGGAAGAAGGTTGTCTGATCCCAGCCTCAATCAATGCCAGTGATTCAGCAATAATTCAGACTAAAATTATTTACAACAAACTCCTTGATCTCTTTCATACTTATGTATATTACATCCAAATAAGGTTGTATTATATCAATTACAGGGGGCTCATTAGCAGCACCCAGGTGTTCTTTGTTGCTGTTATTGCACATTTCCCATGACATCAAATAATGTGGAGCACTAATATATCTTACATTTGTCCTCTTCTTCAGAGTGATGAGAGCAGCAGAGGAGACAACATCGAGCAATGTTTTTCCTTTCAAGATCGTCCACTTCAGTAAGAAACACAGGACGTGGTTCTTCTCAGCAGCCAGTGAGGATGAGAGGAGGGTAAGAGTACAAAAATTTGACCTCCCTGCCAAGCGATTTATTGAGAACTTAGCATAACTTTAGAGCCTGAGAAGAATTTTTAGTCTTTGCCTTTGTCTCAACTATGGTATTATTTCAGTCTTTATGCTAAAATTGTTTGGGGTTTGTTTTAATTTAAATGCTGCAGTTTCACATTGTCACGTGTTGTATTTTGCTTGATGTCTTACAGAAATGGATGCGATACCTTCGGAAAGAAATAGACCACTATAACGACAGGAAAGAGTCCCACCTACCAAGGTAACCTCAGCGAACTCGGTCATATTTCACCACTCTATAAAAATATAGATTATACATGCATTGTTGTAAGAAAACTACAGACATGGGACAAATAAAGTACTTAGTGCTGTGAAAACCCAAGTACAGCCTTACTGCTTCCATAGGAATTAAGAGGTAATAGCAGCCAGGTGTGGTCAATTAAATGCATAGTTAGCCAATCATCAGCAAGTGTGACCACCTCTATAAAAGCTGAAAGAAAAAAAATAATGGAAAAACGTGTCTAAAAATAATTTTATACCATTTATGCTTCATTAGTCATCTACGTTTTTCAGTGGGACCTTTTCTACCTAATTTAGATTTTTCTTGCTCGCGTACTTTCATTGAAATCTCAGTGAGCCTGCAGTCAATAAAATCCATTTTTTGGCATATTATTTGTTAATTATGTCTCCATCTTTGTTTGTGACAGTGACTCAGATTCAGATGCAGACAGTTTCTATGGCACAATCGAGAGGCCGATGGATGTGAAACATCTTGTTGATACCACCGAAATTAGTAAGACAGCAATAATGAATATCCATGGATAAGATAAAAGCTTATATGGCATTTGTGCATTAATAAATTGTTGCACCTCTTCTTTCTATGTGAAGATTACAGTGATGACGATGATGATGACGATGAGGAGGACTATCTGAAGCCAGACAGTGAATGTTCGCCAACATCTTCAGGTGACCACCTCATATTCTTTCCCTGTACTTATGGCTCCTTAACACAAAGATCTTTACCTGAAACAGGAAGCAATACTGACTCTCTCTATTCATTACCTCGTCAGGTCGACCCACAGGTCCACCGCCCTCTTACCCTCCTCCACCTGTGCCAGTGACATTCCCCCACCATCAAGACTCCAGTCCAGGCCAAAAAAGCCTCCACCCTCCCATCCCATTACAACCGAAAGCCCCTACCTCTCCGCTCCACAGGAAACCTTCACCTTGTCCACCCTCTCCGTGCATAAAGAAGGAGTCTACCAAAGGCCCACCCCCACCTTTACCTTTTGCCCCTCACTTACAGAATCCTTTTCCTTCCACACCTCCACCTATTCCTCCCAATGCAAAGAAACCAGGCAGGTCAACCTCCGTGGGAGTAACAGCAAATGACAAAAGAGACTGGAGGCCTACGCCGTCTGTTTCAGTCCAGTCACCAGCTACTTTGCCCATCTGTGAAAAACTAGACAGGCTAATCCTAAATGGCCCCTGTCCCCCTCACTCTGGCGGGAGCCAGTCACTAGAAAACAGCTACCGCCGTAATAAGCCGAACATGCCGGTTCCACCATGCCCAAACACAAATGTATCTCTCAATCTAATGTCCTCCAGTCACCCTTCACACTCCCCGCTACCTAAACCTGGACTACTCAATAAGCCATCTATACCCAAACCTCCTTTACCTTTAGTAGGAGTCAAGCCATCAACGGCTCCACCCAGGCCCAAGTCGCCAGGAACACCGTTTCAGTAAGTCTGACTTAAACAGTGAAATTCAGGTTGATTTTTATGATCAAAAAATTAATTGAAAGGAAAACATCCACAATCATTCTAAAGCTGTCTTACTGACACTGTTTTGTTGGTTCCTGTATAAAATAGGTATGTAAAGACAACATAAAAGTTTCCCTGCATCACTAAGGCATGTTTTTTCACCAGAAGAACATCTCCAGAGGGCCAGAGCTTCCGTTCCATCAACGACGAAACTGCAGATTTCAGGAGGAAACGAGACTCGACCGCGTACGACTCTGACGAAGACTATGAGAATGTAAGAGAGACTGAAATGATGTGTCAGCTGATAAAAATGCTAAATTACTGTGGAAATACATGCTGCTTTAGATAACCGCTTGTATCATCATGACTGAGCCCAGGGAAATCCCTTTTGTTTTAAAAGTCATTTTATCTGGGCTGCATATTAGTCTTTATGAACTGCCTTCAAAATTCACTAAAGCAAACGAAAAAGAAACAAAAATCACAGCATCAGCTGATTCTGAGGTGCTCAGGTGGGAGGAAGTCATAATCCAATCATAATAATCTCATTTTCTGCTAAAACAACACTATTTTATGCCAATTTTTCAAATCATGAAGTTGAAGCAATTCAATTTTTATTAAACACTGAAACAAGATATTGAAATTTGAGCCATGCTTTGTTACAGGCAGTGCCAGGCCGACATGCTTATGATCTAAATTGTAGTATCTTTATGTGACCTGTGTAGTTATTATAACACACAATTTTGTTCTTTATGTTTCACTGCTGTATATCTGAGCAGAGATCTCAGCCTCGTGAGAGCCTAGTATCAGTAATGAATTGAGTTTAATCAGTTGTTTCTGTATCTGCAGGTCCAGCTGCCAGACTCTGTGTTCATTGATTCGAATGAAACCAGCTTCGTAGAAAAGTACGTATCTCACCTTTAGTTTTTACATTTAGCTGGAAGCTGAAACGGTTCTTCAGTAAACTAAGCAGTGCTGCTTTTTGTTTTTTCTGCCCTGTAGTGGCAAAACAGTGCATTTCTTTCTGCGTGTGTTTTTCTTTCTATGAGCCTCACTTCAGTTTTAACTGAACTACTACTACTTATTTAAGTGCTAAATTTAAAGTGACTTTTAACATGGGGCAGTTGCTTTATGTTTTCCTCTGATAACTCATAACCGGTGATCATTTTTCTGTTTGTAGGTTATTCAAAGAGAGTCCAACTCCTCCACAAGATGGACTGTACGCCATCAGAAAATCAGGAACCAAAACAACAAAGGTAAAAATAAATTTTAAAAAAATAGTTTCCAGTACAGCATAATGGAAATTTGTGTTACTGATAGATACTTAACATTAAGTAACGAAGCTCTGAAAGCTAATGATTATGATTGCCATATATGAAATATCTTTTGTCATTCTGGGCTGAAAAATCTATCTCGCTGCTGTAAAAGGTTTAATAATAATTGTAAACAGTAACAGTCAATATGATCTAATCAATAAATGTGTCCATTTTCTGAATACTTCATTTTTATTTTTTACAGTTTGTGGGTAGACAGTATTATTTTAATAATAGTAGAAGAGCTTCTGATATTTAGGCCTAAATAAAATCATTTTTGGTGTGTTATCCAGGTGCTGGTGGTGTGGGACATCAGTATAGGCAAAGCCAGAAACTACAGACTGTTTGAAGAGGTAAGAAACCTGCTGTTGTATTTTAGCTGTATGGTATAAGTGCCTATTATGTTTTGTAAGTAAGTTACAGGTCAGACTAATAAAGCTTCCTGTTGGGTGTTTTGGCAGGGTGACTGTATATTTCTGGAAGCTGATTTGACCTTCCCCAATCTGTCTACACTGATCGAACACTACCACTACCGACCTCTTCCTCACCACGGCTCACTGTGTCTCCAGAAGCCCTACACAAAGACGTGAGCACTTTCACAGGCGGCTTACTGAACTGTAACTGAAACCAGAGGACACCAAAGCAGCTGAAATCAGTGCAGAAGACTGTGCACTGGACTGCACCTTAAACATGGAGAAAACTATACAAACTAGACTCTCACCTTGACAAATCTACACTCAGTGAGATATTTACATCATGGAAAACTTTCTAAAAAAAAATCTACCAAACTCTCTAAGGGATCAAGCATCTGTAAAAGGAAATTAGAAATCTGCTGCAAATTCCTGATGTTTCATGTAAAGTGAGCAATGGTTGTGATGTGTTTTGGCCACAAAGGGGCGCTGTGACACCAAATGCTAGCATTAAAAAACATTGATGTTTCTGCGTTGGCCTAGCAATGGTCTAACAAACTGCCTAGATTGTCCTCTCCCTCATGCCCTGTGACAGCTGGGATAGGCTCCAGCACTCCAGCGCATAGATAAAGGGAAATGGATGGATGGTTTACAAGTTTTGAAAAAGCTTTAATATTGAGCTTAAATGGATGAGAGCAAGAAGAACTTTAATGATGCCAGCACAGAAGTTGAATAGTATTAAAAAAGTAATTCAGATAATTATTACATATAATTAATTAAGTTTAATTTTACAAATACATTCTTATGATTCTCAGTGACCATCTGTGCTCCTCATACCAACCAGAACACATCATCAGATATACATATTAGTATCGATCTCATAAAGATTAACATAATTTAATTTGTGAGACTAAAAACGATGATGATGGAAACAATTCTTCAGATTTAAATGATATTCAGTCGTTCTTAAAGTTGGTCCAAAAGTAAACATTCAGTTCCTTTAATGCTGATAACTTGATTGGTTTGAATAGATTTCTGACTACCTGGAGGTACTGAGGTGTAAACGTGGATACTGGGACAGGCTTGCTGTCCTTTATCTTCAAAAAGACTCCCATCTGTCCACTTTGTCCCAAATGTGTCGTCCCAACCAGATGCAGCTAACTGATGCTCAAATGTCAAAATCATAGCAAACTATCAGCTTCATCTTTGTGCCATTTGCAGGCAAACTTTTTCCTCTGGGTGCAACGTCCAAAACTAGTGGCTGCGATGTATGCTTATCCGTGAGAACTGAATTAACATTAGAAAAAGTAGAAATGTTTTCTTGTTTCTTCTTTCAGAAATGAAAAACGACATACGACACTGTCGATAAAAAAAAACTCATTTATTTACAAAAACAAACTGATGTAATTGACTTTTTTGTGTATTTGTGTGTTCTGTTTGTACAGCACTATAAAATGTTCCTTTATATTTATATGTAAATGTTATTATAATTTGTAAAAAAAAAAAAGTGTATCTAAACTGTAAATATTCTGTTTTTTTACTTAAATATATTATTAGAGATTATTATAAAAGAAAACTTGGAGTGTCTCGTTCATAACACACAGCAATAGTGGTTAGATCCTGAATACATCACTAGTAGTTTATCCAGCTGTTCTCAAATACACTCACTTGCTTTATTAACTGAACTGTCTGATTCTCCCATTCTATCACATGCCAAAGGTGCTCTACTGATCTGAGATCTGGTGACTGGGGAGGTCAACCTTATATACTGGAACACTCCCAGTACATCAGCAGTTTCTCATTTTCTCAAACCACTCAGCCATGTCACATTTAAAGTGACTTAAATCTCCTCTCTTCCCCATCCTGATGCTCGGTGTGAACTTCAGCAGGTTGTCTTCCATTGGCTTGTTGCCATGTAATTGGCTTGAATTTATCTGTTTAGATCATATAGTTGCTTCAGGAAGCATTCAGACCCCTTTGTTAAGACTTTATATCAACGGTGTGAAAGTCACTAGGTACAGCCCAATTTGATTGTTAGTCAGTATGAACCGTTGCCTAATAACCTTTAAAAAGATACTGCCAAATCGTCCCCGTTTGTTTCACTGTAAAGATGTTTAACTACATACAAATCCCTGAGATGTCTTAAGAAAGTGAAGTGCAGTTTCGACAATATGTCTCATGTCTCTATGTTATACTGAAATGTTTCGTTAATCTAAAGCAGTGGTTCCCAAAGTGTGGCCTGGGGGCCCCTAGTGGACTACAAAAGTACTGCAGGTGGGCCTCAATAATAACAGCAATTCATTTATTTATATATAGAGAAAAAAGTGAATTAAAATGGTAACTGGGGTTGGTTAGTTTTTGATATTTGTCATTTGTCTGGCCTAAATTTACTGCTCTGTATTGAGGTTTTTGTCTCAGTGACAGGTGGGTCACACATTGGCCTTAACACTTTGCATATGACTGGGTAGCAACTGGATAACCAACAAACTGTGATTTTTATGGCTTTTAAATAAAGTTTTCAAGCACTCTTGACTTTGGGAAAGGATCTAAAGAAACCTGCCAGCACAGCTATTTGGGCTTACATTTGACAATATTGTAAAATTGACCAAAATAAATAAATAAATAGTTTTTCTGGACAGTTTTTACATTCTCCAAAGCAATCAGACAGGGTGGATTGAGCCATGGTTCCTGCATCCAGGCCTTATGTTTGACACCCCTGCCTTACATGGATAAAACAAGTATTTCTTATCTACACTGTAGATAAAAAATACTAAACTTTTAAACAGAACTGTTTGAAAGTTTAATAAAAAGCCAAAACTTAGATCTCTCATTCACAAAAGTACGCACATTCTTTGGGCAGCACATATAGCTTTTGGTCATCCTGACCACGTGAAGGTCTCACACATGTGGATTCAGGCAGTTTTTTTCATCCCTTTTCACAGATCCTTTCAAGCTCTATTAGATTGAATGGGAAGCCTCTTTTAACTGCTGTCTTCAGGCCTCACCACAGATATAAAATGAGGTGTAAGGCTGGGCTTTCGCTGGATTTTTCAAGGGCAAGGAGTGACTTGTCCTGGCTGTGTGCTTTGGTTTGTTTTCCTGAGATGTGAATCAGTCTTTACATACTGTATATACATATATGAATATGCATTCAGATTTTATTTGAATGCAGTCTCTTTTTTCTCATATATTCTCATTTTATTAATCACGATAACCTTTATAAACTGTTAGCAAACTGTTTTTTCTGTTTCCGTTACATGTGGTAATCATTTGGGTTTAGTGGGGAAGCATCTATCAGCTGGTACATCTCTTTTTTAATTACAAATTTCTTGTGAGATCCCCAATTAACTGACAAAAACACTGGAAAAACTCTCCTTAGAGAATCACCTTCTGTCTCTTCACACACCTATCACAAGTTTGTCATCTTCAGTGTAGCTGCATTTCCCTTTATGTGAGGTACTTTTCATCGTATACCACAAAACCTTGTGCAGCTTGTGACTATATGATGACTTGCAGATTTCCACCTTGGGTTTAGCACAGGCAACAACAAAAAAAACCCTGACATATTAATCTTCAGGTGACCCACGATGACAGCCTTTCTTTACAGCCATTCAGCAAATGCTACAAGCAAAGAAAAGTGAATACACAAATTCACATAAATTCTCAGAACAATAAAAGAGCACTTCATTAAAGATTAAAGAAAAATCAGAGCAATTTAGCTCACAGGTGATGAGGGCAGGCTAGATAATCACAGAGGACGGAAACAAAATCTCAAAGTAAAACCAAATTCAGGCACATGAAAAAAGTAATCTTTCAACAACAGCAACAAAAAACCCAAAAGGCAAACATCAACACTAAATGAGTTGATAAGAAAGATAATGTTTATTCCTTTTATTTAAATGACTTCTGGATACAACCCAGGTAGAGAAGATCTTCTTTTGACATTCTTCCATGCAGCGCTGTGTACACTGCCAAACACAGTGACACAGCGTTCCTTTGGCTTCTTTGCGTTAAGCTCATACGTTTGGTATATTTTTATTATATGGCACGAGTTACAAATGTTACACGATACACATTAACCAGTTATATTGTGTTAATCTGAGGCTTGTATTCACTTTCTGAGCCTGCACACCCCTCTGATTTCCTATCCTTTGTCGAGATTTTCAGTTTCCAGATCTTTGGTTTATATATTTAGCTTATAGTGATGAGATCAGTCATTACGGTGTGCCATTAGATCACAGCACAAACTCCCTTTCTCTTCTCTACCTCTTTCTCGGAAGGCTTGGTAGAGAAAATCTAAATCCTAAAGAGAGTCTGCAGCTTTTTGCTTTCTCACAGAGATAAAGACGTTCCCCCTTTGGTAACAAACATCTTCAGAAACCTGGCCCAGATCTGACCATGATTAAATATCTGCTTTCAGCCAGTGGTGAGCTCTCACAGCTTCCTGGGGAGATGAGGATAAAGCTATTTGGTCTGAGGAAGCACTGATATCTGTAGGCTGTGTGTATCGCTCTGGTTAAGAAATGCAATTTCTCTGCTGGATTTGAACAAACAGAACAGGGTCATATTTTTTACATGATGAGATTAAAATGTAAAAAATAAAAGCCTCCTGGGCTCGGGTTTGAAAAAGTGTGTGAAGCTGCCTAACTTTTTTTTTAAAATTTCTTCTGTGTAACCAAAGCTGTTCTGTCACTTCACATTTCTCTTTGCGCTCCTGCTTTAACTCGCACTCCAGGAAAGCAGACATATCCAAAAAAGGCAAAAAAGCGACATAATCCAGAAAAATTCTAAGACTGAAACTGATGTACTAACGTTTTTAGATGTTAATTTATCAATAAAATGACTTAAATGAAAAAATCCAGTCATTTACTGTATAGATTCAGGTTTGGCAGTTAATTTTGCCGTGGGAAAACATGAGTATATTGTATTAAATCACAAAAACAGTTGCCCCTTTATATTGTAGGGCAAAAACCCTAAAACAAAAGAGGGAAAACTCCAAAAATAAAAGGTAAAAAATTTTGCGTAAGCACTTGGTGACAGTGGGAAGGAAAAACACAATTTAAACAGGAAGAAACCTCTAGCAGAACCAGGCTCTGAAAGGATATGAGTTGAAGTCAGATATCTCTTTGTAGCTGCCATGTTGCTCAAGAAGTCTATATAAAATTCCTAATTTCTTTCCTGCTTTTTAATGCTCAAATGAAATAAATGACAAACTAAGTAACAGGGACTGATGCCCCACATGTGAGCAGTTTAGCCATAATTTGTCTTATGATCAAATTTGACAGCCTTCATCACTACCCTGCTAACACACCAGAAACAGTCATGGAAAAATGATTTGAACCCCTGCAGACTTTGTAATTTTGCCCACTAACAAGGAAATGATCAGTCTATAATTTCAGTGGTAGGTTTATTTGAACAGTGAGAGGCAGAACAATAACAAAAAAGTCCCCAAAAAAGCATTTCAAAAAACTTATATATGAATTTGCATTTTCATGAAGGTAATAAGTATTTGATCACCTATCGATCAGATTTCTGGCTTACAGTTAATGAGTTTAAAAGGCTCCTAATGTCAGCTCGTTACCTGCTAATATTTTGTGCATTAAAAATATTTTTAGGACTTACCTATGTTTAATGCAGGCTGCATTATTTCACTGGGTAAATGTATTT